TAACATAATATTTAAAAATTACGTTATTTTGTATTGATAACGCGTGTGTTCAATAATCGTGGTCTAACTCATTTTCAGTGACTGCAGATAAGGTACCCCACGATCTGGTTCAAACAGAGATCTAAGCATTGTGTTTATATACGACTGGTCTAGAGAGAAACTCGATCCTCAGTGTAACGCAAACACAAGCGTGAAATTCAAACATGTGGGAAAGATCAGGCAAATGGAGGAAACACATGGTACGGACACAGCTGGGACAAAGAGGGATCAGAGCCACAGAGACACTTCCTATGGTTCCATAAAGACACAGCAGTTCAGAAATTACACCAGAAAACTGCAAATGGATGAATGTTTTTGAGCTTAAAGAAATAATCGTGATTAAAGTGAAATTGCAATTTGAATGGAAGCATTTAGCAGCGTACAAAGGCTAAAATGTTTTAAAGGTGCATTGTGTAAAAGCGTATGCCACCTTAAACATCTATTGTTTGATTTTATTGTTCAGAAATACATTTAAAACCATGCATTCTTGTGTGAGCGGGCCCACCTCTCCACTGAACTGATCCGTACCTTGGCCTGAAGATAGTACCCTCCCCCCAAAAATTTACAGTGCTCCTTTAAGCACCAAAATATTCAGATCTTATTTGGCATAAAAACTGCTCACATTGTGGTTTAGATCTGTACAAACTGAATTGTGATTCTCGTATTAGTTGCCAGTTCATATTTGAGTCTTTTTATAAATTTTTCTCAATGCGTGACAGAATTTTTTCCCAAATTGTTCAGCCCTATCTGGTACCTGATGAGAGCTCTCAACTACTCTGGCAATAACATCGGAGTAGGCTCTTACCAAATCCAGTCGAAATCTGATTTTGCAGAGTCCATGACTAAAGGTCCTGTGGTCATAATGTATTTCTGTCATTTTTATCTTTGGAGCAACAGCCGTCTTTAAAATAAGTCATCTGGAAATGTGTGAAAAGTATCAGAGTTTTGGCAGCTCCAAATGCAACAAAGAAAGTCCACTCAAATAACAGAGGATGAAAAAGACCAGAACAACATAGTTTCCACTAAATTCATATTTGCTACTTTTCACCATTATAATCGGCTGCTTTTCAGACACCGCCCTTCTTTTTCCTTTCCTTCAATATCGGCCAAGTACTGACTATGGTTGAACGATTTTGGCAAAAAAGGTGTTTTTACAACAAACATTGCGATAAGATTTGAGATTTATGCTTTAATAGTTGGATTCTGTTCAAAGTTCATATTTCGCTACTTCTCACCATTTTAGTTGCTCAGTTTTCTTCCTTCAGTATACTAACAAGTTTGTTTTTTTTAAGGGACGGTGCATGTTCAAGGTCCCATATTACACAATTTTCTAATCTATGTATGTTATTATGTCGCTTCCTCATCAAAAACATACTGAGAGTTGTGTTTTGTTTCATTCACATGTTTGAGTAACACTTTATTATTAGTCTGTCTACATCTCAAACTCTGCATAATTAGACTCAGTTCTCTTCTCAAACAAAAAACACTGTGTGCAGCCCAGGAATTGCCTATTTCTATTAAACAAAACTTGAAACCTACTAGTGCATGACATCACAAGGTGGAAGAGAGCATTTTGACAGGCTAATAATAAAGGTTTACTCAAACACGTGTGAATGAAACAAAACACAACACCAGGTATGTTTTTGATTTGGTAACAACATTATAACATGGATTAAACATATGCAAAGGCAATTTTAGAACCTTTAATGAGCAACTGAGTAAATATGTTAACTCCCATCTGTTGTTAATAGGCAGGTGAAACAGTAGACAATTCCAAAATCATGCTGTTTAACATGTAGTTTGAAAGTGGACAGTAATGCACTTAAGATAATTAGTCACTACTAGGGATGTAACAATAATCGATATATTGTGATATCGTATCGTCAAAGTTCTCACATTAATATCTTGGACCATCACAATATATCGAATTACAAGTCTCTTTGCTTAAATTAAGAGTTATGGTACAGGAACAGCTAAAAAAAGACAGAGGGAACTACATAGACCATAATCCGTTGCTCCATTTCAGTGCAGACTACAGGAAGAAATAACAGTTCCACCCACTTTTAAGTCTTGTCAAGGCATTTTAAGAGGAAAAAGTCACATATTAACAGTTTTGTTAGCCTCCACAAAACATTGCAATGAATACTGTACCCTAATTGTGAGCCTCCACATCATATCGTGAGCTCTCCCAAGATATCGCAATAAATATCGTACCGTGAGGTTCATACCGTGACGATATCGTATCTTGAGACTTGGATATCACTACCATCACTACCATCTATCCAAATGTGGTGCGTCTGTGTCTGTGGGCTCAAACATCGCAATTTCAATATTAGCAAATGACTAATTTCCTCCCCAAATATCCTGTCTTATTCTGATAAAACCACTAACCCTGTAGTTTAAATCTGTATAAACATGTTCTGAAATACATGTGATTCTTGTATTAGTTTGTCAGTTCATATTTCAAATTGTCTGGACGCGTTTAAAATGTAAACTTTGAACAGAATCCTATTATTACAACAAATCTAATCACAATCACAATGCTTGTCAGCCCGAGTTTGCAGCCAGAAAAAACAGCTGTACAAGAAGTTATGACAAAAAATTTGAAAATAGCTCTCAGCCTTTCACAACAGCAGTGGTCTTTTGTGGGTCTTTTGTCAGTGTTCATATTGTACTTTTCTGCATCTGTTTAATGTGCACCAGAACCTTTTATTACAACATAAACCACAAATCTAATCTCAACTTTGCAAAAAAAAAAAAAGAAAAAAAATAGCTGTTTGATATTTTTTCCAAAACAGTTCAACCCTAGTTTACAGCGAGAAAAAACAACTGTGCAAACTGATGAAGTAAATATAGATGATAAACAATAATACTGAAACCAAACCATAAAGCAGAATTACACCCACACAAAAAGCTGCTAAAAATAAGAAGAAGAACAGAATGCAACACTTAATAGCAAGTTTGTGTCTATAAGGAGTCACATAATTTCACAATTCAGCCTTCTACAGCTCAAATTTAATTGTAGTACAGAAAAACAAGTAAAAATTTTTCCCATGAGTACAATAAAAAGTACTCAGAATAAATACTGAACCCCCAAAACTATTGTTCCATCTGTTATTTATTGAACTATAAGTCAATATAGTAATTATCATGTCAGGGCTACGCTGTATAAAATAAAGCAGTGTGTTAATATTATGCATTAGGGATATTTTAGTAATACTGGTCTACGGGTGGTACCGGCTGATATTTCAAAATAGCTCTTGGCCTTTCAGAGCAGCGTCAGTCTTTCGTGATTCTTTAATTAGTTTGTCACTGTCTTCTGCACCTGCTTAAAATGTAATAAAAGATTCTGGTCAAAGTGCACAACACAAATTGCAAATCTTCTGTCAATCTTGCAATGTCACAAAAATTGCAATTGGACTTTCTTTTTCTTTTCTTTTTTTTTCAAAATGGTTCAAAATAATGTGTTAATGTTATGCACTGGAGATATTTTAGTAATACTGGTCTATGGGTGGTACAGGCTGACATTTCAAAATAGCTCTGAGCCTTTCACACTAGCATCAGTCTTTTGTGGCTTCCTCTTAATGTTGGGTACAGTGACAGAGTAGTACAGAGAACAGCAGTACATATGAGAGTTTGTGTGAATGGCCTGTCCACAGCTCGCCTTCCTTTTAAGGTCATTCTCAGGGCCTCAGAGCTTAGCCAAAATTCCACTCACAGACACACATGCTCAGAGAATACAGGGGAAAGATGGCATTTCTAGCGAAAGCAATCAGACTTCTCACAAACGCTGCCAATAAAGCTGTGTCTAACAAGCTCTTTATCCTATGATATCTGCAGCACACAGGCAGCTGCTCCATTTAAAAGGCTCTAAGTGAAAATGTAAACACAAAGATCTGAACAATGATTTATTCTGTCAGTATGAGGCAAAGGCACTTTTCTTATTCTATTCTACAACACTGAATGTGTTCTGCAAAGAGGCTGGATTTTTGTCAACCATTAGTTCTGTTGGGCAGGACTGGCAATTGGATTAACCAATCAGGAATAGGCATGGTTTGTTCTGTATTAAAACAAAGATGGCAACCAAAACCGAACATTACTACACTATAACACACATTGTACTATATTTATGTACTAAACTTGCAAACTTATACACACAATGTGTTCATTTTTATCTAGGGCAAATCAGCCACTCAACGTAAATGCAACTTGATCCAGAGCAGGAGGCATGAAGTGAACTTGACAGTGTAAAATGCTGCAGTAAGTGCTTCATTTATGAATGAGTTCAGTCCCAGTATAATTCACATGTTATGCTCCCCCAGTGAGTCTATGACGACCGTAACCATGGCAGCTCAGAGCTCAGCCTGATGACAGGTTTGTGCCTCATGTGACCACAGCTGGTCACATCTGTACAAAACCCAGAGTTTTAGTGAGAAGAAGCACAGACTAAAACACAGCTCATTCTTTCTGTGTTAAAACACTATTAAAACATCCTTAAAGTGCATTTGAGCACATAGCCACAGGCTCAATCATAGAGGTAACAAACAGGAAACTGTGTAGGAGGTGTATTCACTTTAGAGTGAAGGAAAATGTAATGCGACCACATCTTTTTAAACCGCACACAGGCAAAATATGATTAACGAGACATAACCGCACCATAAACTAGGGTCAATCAGACATCTGAATTCTGTTATCTCCTAAAACTAGGTTAAAGGTAAAAACATCCATGACACACACCATACAAAATCTGCCAACACACCTTCAGAAGTTAAGCAAATCAAAGTGGCACAGAATGTCGAGCGCAGACTGGTGCCAATGCGGAGGGAAAACCCCTGAGACTGAAACCACTGGAAACAGGAAATGACTTTGTGCCAATGTGTACTGTACTGTCTTTATGAGATACATGTGTTTATGACACAGCAACAACAAAAGCAATATTAAAGTACTTAACTGCCCTAAACTCAATAATCCAAAGCCTCAGCATAGACTCTTAACAAACCATAGCACAGGTTCAAACATAACATAAAAAGACTTCTGCCAGTGCTTACCTTGGGTGGATCATAGAGCTCCAGCTGGTACCTCTCCCCTGCACCTCGGCCTCTTTGCGTGTCCCTGACCCTCCTGACCAGCAGGCGGCAGCGTTGCCATTGAGGCTGAGAGTCTGAGATGGTGTCATCCACCTGCAGGTAGCGGAGCAGATCCTCTTTACAGCAGCTGCCGAGCTCCGCCCCCCTGCGCCGCATGCTGCCAGGACGAAGCCACCGGAAACGATCGAAGAAGTGAGACGCCACACCTGCAGCGGGGCGTGACGAGGAAGTGAGCAGCGGCACGTCAGAGCCAGCAGAAGAAGAGGATGACACTGGCTCGGCCCTGTCCACATGGTGGCGCTGTGGAGCTGGAGAGCTCTTCTGAAGCAGACGGCGGACAGTCTGTCGGATCTGACTGACAGAGAAGTGTGTGACATCAGCATGCACCGGGGTCGAGTCGGACGAGTGCCTTTGCAACACCGGAGCCCGCTGCGAGCCTGGGAGGTCTTCGTTACTACGGCTACAAACACCAGTTCTGAACACCACAGGGTTTCCTGCTGAACATCGAAGGGGCACCTCCTGCTCGGGGCTTACCGCCACCGGCTCTGCTTTTTGGGACAAGAGAGCAGCTCCAGGCCTCTGGGGGGCAGCCTGGCGGTAGTCCTGGGCCTCAGACAGGTGCGGGGCATTAGGTGAATTGGGGGTGTGGGGGCAGGTGCTGTGGTTTGTCTGAGCGTCCTTCTCCACCTCGCAGCAGAAGTACTGCTGGAACAGGTCGGAGAACTGTTTGGAGAAGGTCTCCGGGGGCAACACGTCATGGCGCTCCTGGGCAAAGCTGCGGTAGTGTCCTGCGAGCTGCCGGGCCGTGGCGATGGCATGGAGCTCACAGAACTCCCTCCAGCCTCCTCCTGCGGTGCTGCTGCGGTGGCCTGGATGAATAGTGTTACCATTCATTGCAGTAACCACAACTGCTGAGGAGCACTGCAACAGAAACAGCAGAAAAACAAGGCTTAAATATAAGTGAGCAATGCGAAAAGAAATGGAAACAAATACAGGCAAATCAACAGTGTGTGAGCGTATTCTTAAACATTTACAACCAGATTACACAGACCTGCAAAATCATCATCATGGGAACAGTACATTACAGTGTACTAAAGAAGAGGTCCTTTTAGAAATGAATGAAGCAGAGACTGAATGAGCTGCAGTTTGAGGAAGTGCGCCGAGACAGTTTTTCAATAACCACACTCCAGTCTCCACGTGACACCTCTGCGGCCTTCTACTTTTCAATACACACCGACCAAACAATTAACAATAATACAGCAGTAATATAACTGGGCAAATACACAGTGTGAGCAAATGCATGTTAGGAAATATGGAAATCATTTAAAACAATTTAAAATTAAAGGTCCAGAACACAATTTTGTTCCCAAGTATGAGCAAAATTTGTCTTAGGAAACATTTAATTGTCCGATAATCAGGAAGTGTGTGTTAGCATGCTTATTGTTGTTAGCTTTACTGTTAGCTCCCTCTGCAAGTGCTCTGGGTGGCGGGGGTGAGAGCCGATAATTGTGTCCTGCAGTTTTATTTGATGTTGTAATCAACATATTTGTTTGTATTGTGATTTTAATGTGTTTTTCTTCCATCTATAAGGCATTTTAATACTTTTTAAAATTACGGTCTGTATAAATTGTGCTCTTGAGTGCCTATATATTATACTTTTTATGCAACCCAAACAAGCTCTAAATCTGTTTGTGAAGAGGAAGCATTAAAACATGGATGAAAAATAGCTAATATGGGCCCTTTAAGTTGAGGTCATAGACTCAACATATGTTAAAAGGACCTAGTGGGAACTAATGCGCCACAAACATTATCTATAGAAGTCACGAGGACGACTTCCTGTTATTAACAATATGCCAATTCAAAGCACGGGGGGAGTCTTTTGTTTACAATGTTAAGACCGGTCCTGGCCGGTCCATGGCCGTCTTTGCATGTATGTAGCTCCTTGCAAACATGCCTATAGTACATACCAGGGTGTTGAGGGAAAGAGAGGGCCATTCTTTCTACACAGAGGCACAGTGCAGATGCATGCGTGCAGATGCTGTGGGGGCAGTCATATCCAACAGATCACAGTAAACCACAAGTAATCGCGGGTTCCTTGTTGTGGTCAGGCTAACATGGCTTCGCTACGTTTACTTCAATAAGCCCTGAAAAAGTTTAAAGTTATTGTTACGAATGCATAATTATTCATAGTTATTCAGGCCGAAGTCAATGAACGTCAATGGAAGGCGTGCAAAACTTGGCACTTCGAAATATTGCGTCACTAAAAAGTTCCAGGATGTCACAACAACCCCTTCCTTTCCCGTAGACTTGGAGCATGCTCAGTGCGCGCCGAAGCCCACCGCCCCCCCCGCCCGGCCCCCCCAGACTGTGTTTCTATCAGCCAGGCCCCAGCCATGACTCAGCACACACACAGAGCACACTATAAAGACACTTCCTCCGTCTATCTCTCCAGAGGCTTGGTCCACACAGTTCCCAGGCTTCTCTCCCTTTTCAAGTCTGCTGTGGCTGGAATGAAGATCTCCAGATGTGAATGTCGAATTGGTGTTGACGTTATTTTTACTTCATCTCAGGGTCTAAACAGGGTCACCCGCAGAAAAAAAGAAATACGGATAAAATGCAACTTCGGTAAAGTTCAGTTTTGTGCAAACTCTCTGACGTCAAACATTACTTTTTCTAATGCAAGACGAAATTAAAGGAGTTGAGCTAGACGTTAGCAACATAAAGTGTGGAAATGTACTTATGACTGCTTATGCTAGAGCTGGCATATGGGTTTTCCCCTCATATTGATCACTGTTGGTTATCCTTTTTTACATTTTCAAACGCAAAATAAATAAGGCTTTCAGTATTAATTTCATGAACATCAACAACACTTCTAATGAAAGAAATTTAACACAAAAAAATAGTCAAATTTATTCCTTCAAAGTCTGATTTGCCTCCAAACTACATGCATTTACTGACAGAGGATTGGCTTGTAGTAGTAGTCTTTACTTTGTTTGGCAAAATGAACGATAATTCACACCATTAAATAAACGTGAAGTACAAAACAAAAGACAAAAGTTCTGTTTTATTCGAGATTAATTCTTTACTGAAATTTATTTGTAGATTCATAGACACTGGTTACTGCTACTGGGATTATCCATGGGTTTAAGAACTATAAAAATTCAGACAGTGCCATAGCAACTGGCAACTCAAATACCCTATGTTTTGAATGGAAAAGTCCTCAAAATGTTGCATAAAACAGGAAATCAAAAAATCATGAATAATACCTTGCCGTTTTGTTCATGCAAAATTGCACGTAACTCAACAGCCCTGATATCGTCTCCTCTCTGCTCTCCCCCTCACGCACATTATAGGGCCTTATGCCAATGTTGAACGCGCTGAGAGACTAGTCAGCATTTTTTTTGCACAAAAGCCGAACTGTTCAAAGAAACTAGACCAGTAACAATGCACACAACTGAAATGTTTTGCATGCAGTGCTTTTTGTAGTTGTTAGAGTCATGTAAGCCTGCAAAACCCTACCTTGCCTCATATCTTTTCCTGGGTGCAGTCTAGTAATTGTAATCAAGTAAGAGAGGAAACAGGATGTGTGAAGGACACGTGAAAGATCTTGTCGGACAAATAACCTCATGACTTGAATCAGTTGTGATCTTGACCACAGCACACAGGCCAGGGGTTTTGTGTTGTATTTACATTTGACCAACAAGTGTACTATGGGCGATATGCAAAAAAAAAAAAAAGAAGCACCCCCCCAAAAAAAAAACGATCATGTTTTCCTTAGAATCAGATCTCGATTTAGATGTTATCATCATTCATGTTAACTTAGTACATTTAAATTCCACTGAAGAGGTAATATGGTTCTTCTGAAAAATCACTATGACTGCAACAGTTTATCGACTAATAGAAACTAGCTCATAATAAAATATAGTTAGTCGAGTTTTTATTTTTGCAAATGTTTTAAGGACTATATAGCCTCTAAAACACATAGCAAAATATATTTTATGACAAAAACTGCTAAATTATTACAAGAAAATGTCAATCTGTAATACACTTTATTTGTTAATATTCTCTTTCTGGATGCCTGATAAGTAATAATCATTTGATAAGTCTGTTACGATAATTACAATATCAAAGATTAACGAAATTTTGTACAATATTTTTTGGGGCTCAGTCTTTATCGTGCGTACATTTTGTTTGCAATAGTCAGTAGGTTTTTGCTATTTTTTATGTATTAAGGTGTGATTTGAGCACCTCTGAATGCCTTTTAATGATCGCATATATTTACAATAGTTGACTGGGATTATCCTGCTGTGTTGTTATTGTGTTAGTAGCTTAAAAAAGTTTCAGTATTCTTGTATGATCATGTGACTAAGGGACTACTAAAATAATCATTAGTTGCAGCTTTAATGTTCACAGTTCACTTGCAGTTGCAGTTGGTTAAACCTGCTTGTCAATCACTCAGACCATTGCTGAGGCTGAACAATTGATACTTTGCAGTTAACGTCATCAATATTTCCTGGGGGTGTGATGCTAAGGAAAGACACTGCTTTGTCAGAAACTCTGTTTCTCAGTTTAGATTTAATCTGAGCTTTGTTTTAACACAATCTGAACAGAAAGTGCTGACTTGTTTGCAACTTGAGCTGAGATGATTTGTTTGCTTAAACAAGTCTCGCACATTTAAAATGACTGTCGTAAGAAAGTTCGCTTTTAACCCAACAGTTCACTTCAGTTCAGTTAGTCACTCTGACCTTTTTGTTGAAAATCAAACAGTTTTGCATTTAACATAGGCTCCTAAAAATTTTAATATTTGCTAATGTGTGTATTGTGTCACTAAGGTCACTACTGAACATTCCACCATAAAGAAACATGTAAAACACCTCACTGCCGAGTATCAATTGGATCAGGCCTAGTCCAAAGCTTCACAACAAAAGTCCTGGACACACAAAGGCTTCAGCAGCAGTTATCAGTGCAGTGAAGGGAGGCCCTATTTATATCTCTGAGCCGGTATCAGCTCACACAACACTCTCCCAGTACCACATGGGAACAGTGTGTGTCAGATCTGAGGGACGAGACTTTAAGGTGAAACTCTGCAGGTCACATGTTACGCCACACTGAGACTCGGAGCTTTGACTAAAGACATTCTTGGTTGTCTCAAAGTGCTAAATGCCTCTAATGTACATAGAAGTTAATATTTGGCAAATAACAATACATTTATTCATTGAAATCATGTTTAAAAATGTGTTTGTGAAAATTTTGCTGAACTTGGACAAAATTCTCCCATCAATAAGAAACTCTCTATTTCCTGTAATTTTCAACACATTTTTCAACTTTTTTTCACAAATTGCTTCTTCATTTGTGATGTGTGAACTATTTATATTTACAACAGGTATTATCTCACCAAAATGAAGCCAAAAATAGAGAATAATCAAAAACATACCAAGCCATATGAACTTTAAAATCCACTGGTAGATATTGCTACACTACTAGATCATGTTAACCCGCTTGCAGAGGTTCAAAGTTAGTCCCTGTTTACCTATGCATTTGTACACTCCTATTTATTCGCCACGATGAGTTTATAAGTGTATTTCACAACTAGCATACTAACAGCTCACTTCCTGATACCTGGAGGCTTTATAATTAGATACAGAAGGCACACATTTCCACCTTAAGAGCTTCACTTTGCTTTCCTTTTTCCGATGCTGTTGTTTGAATACATCTTTATATTCCTAATAAAATAATTAGCAGGTCTGAACTATTTGGGAAAAATATCTAAAACAATTTTCTGACCAACATTGCAATTAAATGTATTCAGAAAAATTTACAAAAAGACTGAAATATGAACAAACTATGACAAACTTGCTTCTATTCAAACTGTGATTTTGATTGCAGCTGTATTAGTTGAACTGTAAAAATGCTGTAATCTCGACGGATATCGGTCTGAAACCCAGTGGAAGAGTCACTGCAGCTCAAAGTGAAATACGAGGTGTGTGGAGAATAGACCAGAGCCGAACCTGAGCACTTGGCAGGCATCTCTGTGTAAGAAAATGTGAAACTTTGTGGCCCTATGTCCTGTGGTGCTCTCCTGTCAGAAATGCCAGATGGTAAAA